CTGTCCTATAAAAATTGCATGCAAGTCTCTTGCAGCAATTGATCAGCTGGCTTTGAACTGCGCATGCCTTTCGCAATTTTTCTTGCAACTTGCATGCAATTGCAATTTTTATTGCTCCATGTCAAGCGGGCTTAATAAAAGCAAACAAATCGAATGCGCACAAAAACGCAACTTTGCTCGTCGAAAAGTAGTCCTACCCTTCTCCCCCATGGTAGGTCACTCTAATAAAAGCAAATAAAACGCATGCACAAGAACATGTTGCGCACACGCAAAACGCGTTTTTCTTATTTTCGGTGCTATTTGTTAGAAATAAAATCACTCCAGCGGAGACTTAAAATGCAAAGCATTTTTACCAACCTATACGATAAGATTGACTAAAAAAGAGTTCACCAACATATTGGCCCTTTTTCAGTCAAATCAAATTTCCCCGCTTTTTTTCCTTTTAGAATACGACAGACAAATGTGCGTCATCGCACCGAATTCGGCGGGGGATACCAAAACGGCGTGAAACGCCGTGATCGGCCAGAGCGAGCGAAGCGAGATCCGAATCGATCTAGTTTTGTCAACATAAAACAAACTAGGCTGCAGTTGGAGTGTTAATTGGAAATTATTGAACGAATTATTATTAGGTTTATATATTCAGATCTATGCCAGGTAGAAATTTAATATTTTGACCATTTGATAAAAACCAATGTAATCAAGGAGATATTTTCCGTGTTCATACACAATATACCAAAATTCATTATTTCCGTTGTTGTCACTGTGCATGGTGGACAGTTCAACCTTCAAAAAACCCATTTTGTAATGACACTTTCAGCTATAGCAAATCCCTTCAGCAAACTAAAATAAGGAAGGAAATAGCTATGTATACATCAAGTACATAGACTGGGTCTTTATGGACGGCCGTTTATTTAGCCAGCGAGCTTGCGAGCGAGGCACAAATAAACAAGGCGAGTCCCCATAAAGCCTATTTATGGACGCGATATATACAAAGCTTTATGTACGACTGCAACAACCCTTAAAAATGAAAATTTCATGGAATTCAATAAACGATAAAATCAATATATCATTGACAACAGACCTCAAGCATTTGTCAAGTATTTCAAAATACTTGAATTTACCTTGGATTGACACCTAAGTACGACTGTCACATTGACAGGCGGCCGTTTTACTTTATCATTATGGACTAGAGGCCATATAATATTGCAAATTATGGTCACTAATTGCGACTGTAATCATAATCACCGCATTGTCAAGCAGTCGTACATAAAGTAAAAAATAGAACAGCTAGTCGCAGACATTCAACCCTATGCTGTATCACTCTCGTTATTCTATACGATCAATCGTTATCGCAGTTTAACGATCAAACGTTATGATGACCACAACGACTATCGATAAACGCGATATGCTGTATCAATATTTTAACGGTATCGTTACGTTGTCCGGTATCTCGCAGTGGCTATTTCGGAAAAAAGTGTCGCATTCTAGAAAACAAGGAACGCTGCGCAACGGCAGTGCGTGTAAGAGTGAAATACCACAGCGATCAAATATAAGAGGGCGCTTAATCTTAAAACAAATACCCGCCAGATTTGGAAATGCAGACGTTTCTTTAAAATTATTATTATTAATTGTACATGTACCTACCTAGTTGGTTTATCACGACATGGCGAATGTCGAAGAGAATAATAAGAGGCCATACAACAGTTTGTTTTTTTTAGATGATTAGGTACAAATACCTTCATTTTCTCTCATATTCTGTGGAGGTATATCTACATCACCTTCATTATCCTCGAGTGGTGGTAAGTTCTCCTGTATCGCAATATTATGGAGTATTGCACAATGCACAGCACAACACAATTTTCGCAAATCTGTCAGGGGAGTAATGAAGAACTCTGTACTTCAAGAGGCATCTAAACCTTTGCTTCAACACTCCAAAACAGCGTTCTATTACATTCTTGGCTAAAATGTGTTGTGTAGTGTATCTTCCCTGTGGTGAAAGTGGGTCTGCCTCTGCATTTTCTATTGGCGTTAACAACCATGGCTGCAGTGCATATCCTGAATCACCTATACAAGTTTGTAAAAGGGCAAAATTGTTAGGTCACAACAGCCACACTCACCAATTAACCAAGATGAATGTAACTCATTGGTTAAATACTTTTCTTCCAGGTGCCTTTTCACCGCACTCATATCCCATATTGCAGAGTCGTGAGTAGATCCTGGAAACCGTGCATTACAATTCAGGATTTTTATGTTCGCATCACAAATCTGCATGTTAAACAAATTTTCATTGAAACATGCTGCTGTTAGTCCTTACCATTTGCACATTCAAACAGATTTTCTTGATAAACGAAAATCTTTTTGAAAATCAATTTCACCCAGCTGAAACTGATCACTGTTGTCTCGTAAAATTCTTCGTTGGATGTTTTCCTCATGTCTCAATAAAAACATAATCTACGAGTATTAAAAGGCACAGAACTCACCTCCCTATTACATTTTCCAATTGCCCGAACAAAGCTACTTGCAAAAATCCTTGCAATTATTCATTTTCTTTCTCTTTAACATCCCCTTAAACTCCGAACGAATCGATGACAGGACCGTTACGCGCCAAACGGATAGCATGCACCCTACCGTTAAGTTTCTCTGGTTATGTTTGCAAAATAACGATAGAGAATTACGATAGTCGTTATCCCACTCTTTTTATGAGTGATACAGCATACTGATTTTTAAAAAATTATGGTAACGCCGCATAACGATATCGTTATTCTTAACGATAGTGATACAGCATAGGGCCGAATGTTAACGTTTTTTTTATATTGTTTATGGTATAGTTTTCTGGTTACAATTTTCACCTTAAGAAAAATAAAGGTAATTTATCAATCAATAAATTGCAGCAGGGTTTTAATATAAAGCTCCCGCGGCAAAATATATGACGCCCTTATTTTACAACATCTATACTCTATATCTTTAATTAGTGGATCTTTCAGAACAGCTCCTTTAGATGCAGAATGGTAAGGAGCCGGAGGGAGAGAATGATAAAGGTTCAGCAGTAAATTTATCGCAACCTTTGGGAAAATAAAGACATATTTATTGTATACGAATATAAAACTGTCCAAATACGGATTAGTGAGATAACCAGCGCTGAAACTAACAGCAGGCGTATTTTCAGATTCGGTTAAGTGCTGAATTATAGTTAAATAAAAGTGCGTATCCGCGCTAGAAAAATGTACCCATCCGACATTTGATTTCGAATTTTATTGTATTTATCTAAATGTAAACAGGTCACGTTGTTTAAATAGAGATACAAGAAATTTCGTATTTACGCAAGGGATTAAACAAGAGTTCATTTTTGTGCCCATCGAAATGGACGTGATGAGCATGCAAAAGTTTACGTACTTTTTTGTACTTTATACGAGTAAATGCTACGGTTTAGATTACCAATTGAAACACCATTAAATCGGCTTGCAAAAAGCAATCCACACTTCTCTTTATTTAGACGAAGGAAATGAGGAAAAAAGTTGTACACTTTTGCAAACAGAAACAGTTCGTATCGAAACGAACGAGTTTTGAAAATTGCGGAAGGGGTGCAAAAAATGTGTTTATAATAAAATTGTTTCGGAAGTTTTCAGGAGTGCAGAGTATTTGAGGAACATTACGTTCTAAAGTAAGGTTCAGTACCTACCTAAAATTAAGACAACGTGAAAGTGTCTTTGACTTCTCATACTTTCGTAATTTACCCACCTGTTTACCGTTGTAAATAGTTTATTGAATTTCAACTAATTAATTGGTGCGAGGCTTAGAGAAGGAAAGAGTGAGGAGTGACAATAATCATCGTAAAATGAAGCCCATACATTTGTTTGTTGTTTCACCCAAATCATGGCCGCCTACAGTTCATTGGCGTAATGTTAAAACGGCAATCGTAGGTACAATTTGTGTAAAGTAAATACAATACAAACGTATTATTTTAAACAATTATGAGCACCGAGACGAAGAGGCGTAGAAATGTTTGTAGTATTTTTACCCAATAAAATACGGGGATGGATAACCTTCCAACCACGCTTCGTCTCCTTTTGTGACAATGGTCAACTTCATTTCCCCATGCAAGTACCTATAGAATGGTGGCTATTTCTGATATAGGAATGTCCCAGGCAGATTATCAAGCATCGTTAGCTTCGAGTGGTAGCTCGGAGGGGCGACAAAGAATCTTCCGTGCATCTGTAATAAGTTGTACATATATTACTTTCCAACTTTTTCATCAATTTGCTACAAATTTATGGATATCTTTTACGTTTAAGATATTATAGGTACAATGCGTACGCCACTGGTCAATGCATACGGACACGTTGAGATAAAAGGCCTAAACTCCGTCCAATCTGCGCATGCGAAAGAAACGTCAAAGTTGCAATGTTATTAATTAAAATGTAGGTTAGGTTATTGTTTTCATCACAGGCTGTTATAACGAATAAACATATTTGTAAATCGTAATGTACATTTAAACTCACAGACTTTTGACGTTGTTATACTAAGACCCATGTTTTCCTGCAGCAGTATAAAATCCGAAAAGGACAGTATAAGCCCCACGTTCACAAATCGTAACCCAGACATTTCAAATACCTACAAATCGCTCATAAACCGGACGGCTACTAGGGTGATAAAACTGGAACGCTCCTACTGGCATAAATATACAAATTTGCTTTCCTACCGCCTCCAATAAGACAGCCCGATTGTAGATGACAACCGACACAAACAGGCCGTCACGTAACTTCATTGTTCGTCCATTACATCAACGGACCCGACACTCACCGCTAGCACGAAGGAATGGGCCATCAAAACCAGGCTGTATAAGACCATGCACCAAGTCGTTGGCGTACGTGAACGTCACACGGTCACGTCCCTGCATTCAATTTAATGTTTGCTACTTGTAGGCTTCAGTTCTTCGTAGGTACAAAGATGCCTTGCAAGCGGTCCGACAGAGTTTATGTGCGCTTGCAAACCTGAACACAACGGCAGTAAGGTCGCAAAGTTTCTACCGTGCTCCAAGATTTCAATTTGAAATTGTCTGAGCCGGAATAGTCAAGAGAGCCGTGGACGAGAGAAAGATTACCAAAACCGTGGGATATAATCTGACTTGACAGATAATGTGAATCGACCTTAAATTGTGTGCCTATTAGGTAAATAGCTGCATAATTTACACTAAAGTTTTATTTGTACTTGTGCTTCCATAGTTTCTGTAAAGAGAAAGCTGAGTATTGGGTCGCTCCAATGAAGTGAAGAAAGCCTTATGTTCAGTCTCTCGAGATGCTTCCCAGTTTCTAACTCAAAGGTTCTTCCAAAGAAGGTGCTTATTACTAATTTCTAGATTGCATGAAAAACCGTTTATTTGATTTTTTAAGAAGAAGTTAATGGGTTTCAAGAACAATAAATTTGATAAATATGTACACTTTTTATTGCTTACCAATATTTTAAACATTAAATATTAATAAACTACACAATAATAAAAAGGGCACCTTAGTTATAGTGAATTGGCAATTTCAAATTGAAATCTTGAAGCACATTAGAAACTTTGCGACCTGACTGACGTTGTGTTCGGGTTTGCAATCGCACATAAACTCTGTCGGACCGCTTGCAAGGCATCTTTGTGTGAAGAACTGAACCTTTTCGGATTTTACACTGCCGCAGCGGAACATGGCTCTTGGTATAACAACGTCAAAAGTCTGTGAGTTTAAATGTACATTACGATTTACAAATATGTTTATTCGTTATAACAGCCTGTGATGAAAACAATAACCTAACCTACATTTTAATTAATAACAATTAACATTGCAACTTTGACGTTTCTTTCGCATGCGCAGATTGTACGGAGTTTAGGCCTTTTATCTCAACGTACATACGGACTCGATCAAAAAAAATCTGTAGCAATTAAAATAAAGGCGATATCTTTTCCATTGTAGTACATACTTGTACTCATTACATTTGGCAATAAAATTAAAAGTTATTTTCTCATGCATATTGATCTACGAGCTCCATCAAGTTAGCCCCCGCAATTAAAAAAAAATGTGTAATGACGATTTTTATATAGTGCTAGGGTTGTGCTAAATTGTGCTGATTCGATTTTAATTTGTGCTGATCTGGAAAATCAATTTTTTTTAATTGAAACGCGGGGGCCAATTTGACGCCCAGCCCCCCGGTTTTTTTAACGTACAAATTCCATTACTACTTTAACGAGTTGTGCTCGATGCATATTGGATTGTGCCGGTCAAATATTCGAAAATAGTCTTCCGGTTCACGGTAGTTCCTGCACTCAAATCTCGGGGGCCAACTTGACTCCCAGCCCCCACGTTTTTTACAAATATGGAAATCTAAATAAGGTCAATCAATTGTGCTCACTGCATATTGGATTGTGCCGTTCAAATATTCGACAATAGTTTTACGGTACACGATAGTTCCTGCGTTTAAATCTCGAGGGCCAATTTGACTCTCAACCCCCCGGTTTTTTTAACGTGCAAATTCCAATACTACTTTAACGAGTTGTGCTCGATGCATATTGGATTGTGCCGGTCAAATATTTGAAAATAGTCTTCCGCTACATGGTAGTTCCTGCACTCAAATCTCGCGGGCCAACTTGACTCCTAGCCCCCACATTTTTTACAGATATGGAGTAAGCAATAATGGTAATCATTTGTGCTCGATGCTTACTGAATTGTGCCGTTCAAACTTTTGAAAATAGTCTTACGGTACCCCACAGCTTCTGCACACAAATGTTGGTGGTCATCTTGACTCTCAGCCTCCCCGTTGTGTATTCACGAACTGTGCGCTCTAGAGGCACCCGTAGATACTCCTCTACGTCTACGGCCACGAACGAAATAAAATGAATGTATGTTTGATGATATCAAATTCTCGTGGCCCATTCTTGATTCTGGATTACGATAGGAAGGTAGACAGGGTCCACGCGTACCTACGCCTCAAATTCGAGCCCTTTGTACTACCTATCTGACTAGAGTCGTTTGATCCCTCAACGTCACTCAAGCCATCCCACACGTGAGATGAACCTAAGGATGCTGGAAGGAGAGGCGGCTCTAATCATCGTAGCCATGTCCGGTCAGGACACCCTTAACATGGATCGTCTGAGTTGGACTAGAGCGAGGCATTCAACAAAGTATGTGGTGTGCCGTTTCATCGTCCGTGTAACTTCCTCTACAAGATAGTGATTCTATCAAACCCATGCGAACCCATGCGGTGCATGTGTTTGTTTTGTTTGCAGTGCCCAGAAAGTATTCCCACGAGTAACCTCAAGTTCTTTCTTGATAGCCCTGTGCAAAAGCGCATCAGGTTACGAGATGGTCCTTTGAAGGCTTCTCTCGCATCGCGACAATCTAACATCATGTTCCATCTAACCCTGCGCTGGGTTTAGGTGTCCTGAGTTATTAAGTTGTTTACAATTTCAGCTGTAAGTGGAAGAGCCGGCTCCGGACCATAAAACACCTGTTTCGAGGTCAGTCGAGCTCACCCATTGGCTTTCTCATTCCCTTCCATTCCAGCATGCCCTTTGACTCATGCGAGCTGCTTGCTACTTGCTCTAGTGGTGCATGGTGACATTCGGAAACCAACATAGAGGTAATTTTACAGCGACCAAGTGCCTGCAGGGCAGCCCTGCTGGCACAAGAGATTCTGATAGTTTTGTGCATAAGAACTTTTCTTGCACTAAGGGTTACCAACTCTGATTGGAATACAGTAAGAAGCTTGCCTAGTGGTTGGGTGATATGGAAGTTCAGTTCGTTGGAATAAATACCAGTGCCTGTTACTTACATTGTTTTAGATCCATCTGTGAAGATGAATATGTAGAGTTGGGATGCCACATCCTCATCAAGGAAAATGTGGTAATTTTCCCCTAATATGAATTGAGGAGTATGTCCAGTTGCACCACCAAAATTAAACCTTGCTTATAAAGTTAAGTCGAACTTAAAATCTATAGCAACGATTATTAAAGACAATAAGTGATACTTAATTTTGTCGGTGCAATTGGTCATTAGAGTCCGATTGCTCTTCTAGGGCAGGTAATCGCTTAATCGCCTCGCCCAGAATTCAAGAATGTAGAATATTACTATGTATTACATATTATATTATATATTACATCTTATTATTCCATATTTGTAAAAATACGTGGAGACTGAATCAAGAAAGAACCTGAGGTTACTCGTGGGAATACTTTCTGGGCACTGCAAACAAAACAAACACATGCACCGCATGGGTTTGATAGAATCACTATCTTGTAGAGGAAGTTACACGGACGATGAAACGGCACACCACATACTTTGTTGAATGCCTCGCTCTAGTCCAACTCAGACGATCTATGTTAAGGGTGTCCTGACCGGACATGGCTACGATGATTAGAGCCGCCTCCCCTTCCAGCATCCTTAGATTCATCTCAGGTGTGGGATGGCTTGAGTGACGTTGAGGGGTCGAACGACTCTAGTCAGATAGGTAGTACAAAGGGCCCGAATTTGAGGCGTAGGTACGCGTGGACCCTGTCTACCTTCCTATCGTAATCCAGAATCAAGAATCGGTCACAAGAATTTGATATCATCAAACATACATTCATTTTATTTCGTTCGTGGCCGTACACGTAGAGGTAAATCTACGGGTACCTCTAGAGCGCACAGTTGGTGAATACACAACGTGGAGGCTGAGAGTCAAGATGACCACCAACATTTGTGTGCAGGAGCTATGGGGTACCGTAAGACTATTTTCAAAAGTTTGAACGGCACAATTCAGTAAGCATCGAGCACAAATGATTGCCATTATTGCTTATTCCATATCTGTAAAAAACGTAGGGGCTAGGAGTCAAGTTGGCCCCCAAGATTTGAGTGCAGGAACTACCATGTAGTGGAAGACTATTTTCAAATATTTGACCGGCACAATCCAATATGCATCGAGCACAACTCGTTAAAGTAGTACTGGAATTTGTACGTTAAAAAAACCGGGGGGTTGACAGTCAAATTGGCCCCCGACATTTAAACGCAGGAACTACCATGTACGGTAAAACTATTGTCGAATATTTGAACGGCACAATCCAATATGCAGTGAGCACAATTGATTGACCTTATTTAGATTTCCATATTTGTAAAAAACGTGGGGGCTGGGAGTCAAGTTGGCCCCCGAGATTTGAGTGCAGGAACTACCGTGAACCGGAAGACTATTTTCGAATATTTGACCGGCACAATCCAATATGCATCGAGCACAACTCGTTAAAGTAGTAATGGAATTTGTACGTTAAAAAAACCGGGGGGCTGGGCGTCAAATTGGCCCCCGCGTTTCAATTTAAAAAAATTGATTTTCCAGATCAGCACAAATTAAAATCGAATCAGCACAATTTAGCACAACCCTAGCACTATATAAAAATGGTCATTACACATTTTTTTTTTAATTGCGGGGGCTAACTTGATGGAGCTTGATCTACGACCAGTTTAAAGCAACTCACATTAAAGTAACCTATAATTACCTGTGAAACGATATTCCTTGTGCGTTTTTTGACTATCACTTCCGTGCACTACAATGTATCATTATCCACTAATGTTTTTAAATGCACACTTAGAAGGACCGCAAAAACACGAAAATGCAAATACACCCACGCAATTAGCAAAAAGTAAACAAACTTTGGCTCCGAAAATATGGCCGCCTCAGGCTTCACCGCGCAGCATTGCCCTGGATAGGATATTACCTATCAGTCCCCTTTCTTTCATAGTCTAAGGTGCGAGGCAACCACTCGACACATCCGACATTTGACAGCGACAGTAAAAATGTCGACATAATATATCTACTAACCTTCGATGGTGTCCACAGAATCGCTCTTTTCACCAGAAGATGCAATACAAGTTGCCTACATTATAAATTCATATTTATTATAATTTTTTTGCCTCTGGCAGTCTGGCCAGCTGGCTAGAGTTACTCGAAAGTAAAACCCAGTAATGGATTCTGGTCACACGTTACACGATGAGTGTCCCGTAATTTTTTAATGAGGTGGAATGTGTTGTTACGGTAAATAATACAGAAATGGTATACTTTCCATAAAGCGCGACCTTCTTCCGTATCTAAATACATAGATGTATATATATAGGTACGAGTATATAGTGTGGTTCGTTTTGAAAAGATCAGTATGCGTTTAATAGCAGATGTTTGACGTTAAATTAATTGCAAGGAACAAGGGTTTCAAAATCAAACTTCCTACTCCGCAATAAAAGTTAGTGTAGCATTTTAGAGCTACGTAAATGAGAGAAAAATCAACGTTATGAGTGGAAGTTAATTACTTAATGCAAACAGAAAGAAGAACAAAAGTGCGAAAATAGCTTTAAAAGCGTTTTAAATGGAAGGAATGTGGGCTTCTTTAGTGCTGTAGTATTCCTTGATTAAAGGTCGTTGCATAAATTAAGATATTTGCATT